TATTTTAAAATGATCAGGCTAAATGGTTGCCCCCGGGATGGCGTCCCTAACTAGTTTTGGACGTGCCATGGGAGTCGCTGTTGAACCACTTTTTAAGAGGATCATGAATTTTGTTTGATCGTTGATGGCGTGTAAAGGGAAGGGACTGGACACCCTTACCTTGAGTCAGATGGGCCTAGACGTGATATTTTTTCAGCTCAACACTCAGATGACGCAAAAAAATTTAATTGAATGTAAAAGTTTGGGCAACTTATAATTTTCTTTAAAAAAAGGATGGAGTAATAATTTTAAAAAGGAGGAGAAGTGATAACTTTAAAAGGAGGAGAAGTGATAATTTTAAAAAGGAGGAGAAGTGGAAACTTTGAAGGAAAGGAAGCAATTTGAGAAAATTCTTTTAAAGGGGGAGTGGTGTAGAGATTTGAGGGTTTTAAAAGGAGTTAAACAAGTGTCAGTCAGTATTTTTTTTTCTTGTTTCTTCCCCCTCTGGCTTGCTTCCCTCACTTTTGGGCCCAAAGGCCCCTAAAATACTCCTCTTTCTGAACTCACCCACCAAGCAAGGTGTCACTGTTGCCCAGACTATAAATTGGATCGCGCCTCAGCGCCGGTAAACAGTCTGTAGCCTGGTCTGGGTCTGTGCGCACCCCCCTAAAACCCCGTGAATCCCTACCTCTCTCGTCACTTATCCTTTCCCTCATCACTATTAGTGCCCTACACTACACTACAATATAAAGCTTACGCCCAACTAATGTAGTGTTGATATCTATTTCTTTCAGCCCTTCTCGATTACTCCTTTGCTCTTTTCTGCATCTTTAAAGTATTGTTCTTCACTTTCTGATGTTTCAGACTTTCATCTGAGGCCTTTTGTTGTCTGTTCCTAAAATTTTTAAAGAGAATTATGCAACTTAGCCAGTGCTCTTGTCAAATGAGAAACTACTCTGATAGAGACAATTTTATATATTTATTAGTTTTTTTAAATTTAAGGATGTGTATATTTTACCTTTTGTTCGACACTTTTCACTAGGCTGTTTTCTCGACATGTCCTTCAAGATGGTTGGATGGGTCAGAGCTGTGGCAGTGGGCTCGAGCTGTTGTCTTGGCCTCCCAGTGCTGGCGATGGTGTGCTGTCTCCAGTTTTTTGGGGCCTATGTAATCCTATGAACATATGAGAAGGGGTCTTTTTTAAAATTTTCTGACTGGCTCTATGTACTTGGTTAACAAATTTTTAAAATTGGCAATGAATGCTTCATTTTCCCTTCCCCCAAAGGTCCCATTCTCATGCAATAGCAATTTTGAACCCCCCTTTATGCATAAGTCAAAGAAGCACATTGTATTACCCATAGATGCATGAATTCAATTTCTCCTGGTTTGGGGATTCCCTGAAAACATAGCCACATCTGTATTTAATTTTTGAAACATTGACAAACATAGATGGAACTTATAAGTTGTAAGATCTTACATAAAAACTTGACTTGGATGTGTTGGAGCAGATCCCGAGGCTGTAAAAAATATACTTATTAAAATTTTGGTACATTTAAAAAATTATTATTTCAAAACCCAAAAGATTGCTCTTTACCACTAGACTCTAATCCCCCTTGAGTTTGTGACATCATCAGACAAGTCCTGGAGAAAAATAACAAAATAGATTACAGGGTTTGGGGGCGACACTGGAAACAGCAATCCATCTACTCTGATTTCTGTTTCAACAAGATGAATAAAAAACATGCTGTTAATTTTGCTCTAACGGGTCGTTTGGCGGTGGGGGCACTGCTCTTGCTCTGTCTCAGTCGCTTTCAACACTGAAGTGTAGAGAGAGCACACTTGATTCCGCGCTCTGCTTTCGACGCTCTGTCTCTCTCGCACGCACGGGGCGTCCCGCAAGCGAGCGAGAGAGACAGACGGACACGCAGTGCTCGGCATCAGCAGACTGATTCCGAGAGCCGTTTTCGTTGCTTTGTCTCTCTCGCACTCAAACAGCGCCCCGCAAAGGTGCGAGAGAGACCGCGACGAAAACGACCCTCAGTCTGCATCTGCAGCAACGCTTAACAGAATCGCTCTGTAAAAACTCTGAGTCAAAACTTACCACGCGGCATAAGGTGCAAAATGCACCTTCACGATCTGGAAGTTCTTCAGAGCGTCTGTTGAATCAAGCTCCACGAGCCGGTTGAGACGGGCATGCTGAGACTGAAATGTCGCATAATGTGTCACTGTCCGCCTTCGCAGGACAGGGTCTGCCTTACAGAGAGACTCGAAGGCCAGTCTCAAATCCGCCTCCTTCGCTGATTTCTTGAGTTTGACAATTTTCGATCGCCCTTCGAACTCTAACACAACCTCCATGATTACTACACACGTCAGCTGATCTCTGTCAGTTTTGTAGCGGCGCGCAAGAATTCGCGCCAAGGCAGCAGGTGACAATAGCCAACTGCGGCACACTACATTGAGGAAAACTGATTACTTGCATCAAAACTAACAAATGCAACAAAATTCGTAAAAAAAAATAATTGTATCGTCGTTTTTTTTAAAAGTAAGTTTGATAATTTTTCGGGATAAGGAAGACAGGAAAACGACTTTGCTCGCAGGCTGCAAACTGACAGCCAGCGTTGTTGTTGTTGTTGTTGTTGTTTCTAAAAAGTGAAAACAGTAGACAGTTGAAGGTGAAGTTCAAACGTATCCCTTGTCCTGTGATGTGTAATGACTATTTTTCTTCGTTTAAGTCATAAATCGGACAGGACACGTGATAAGGGGTGAACTGTGTCCGGAGTTAATGGAGGTTTTACTCTGAAATGCCTGCATCATGGTTAGGAGTGTGTTCAGAACTGGTGTTTTACTCGTGTTTGTGCAACTGTGCTGAGGTTAGCCGGCCTAGGCTGATGGGACTCCAATCTTCACTTCAGGAACCTTGTGTTGGATTAACCCATTCAACAGGTGAGAGGGCACAGCCGGGGTTGATGACTGAATAACTGTGGCCATGAAACCCACCATGTGAGCTCTGAAATACAGTGGTCAACATACTTCTTTCATTCCTTGCTTTGTGCCTCTTGGCCTCCATGTCAACAAAGTTAGCAAGGGAGCAAGGCCTAGGTCCAAAACACATCATCTTTTGAGATTTCTTTGCTCATACTTCAAATTTGAATACAGTTTTCAATGATCATCTGCGACATTCTTGCGACACCTGCTTGTGTGATATTTTTAATCGTATCATGCTTGGCGAGCAAGCTGCCAATTGCTGCGTACTTACCATGTACGCTTTAACTTGTAATCTACCTCAAAGGTACGCTTCAGTTTTGAGCGTACTTGTTATGTATGCTGTAACTTGTTGCGTACTTGTTATGTACGCTACAACTTGTTGCGTACTTAACAAGTACGCTTCAAGTTGTAGCGTACTTACAGGTATGCTCCAATAAGAGCGTACTATGTACACACTTGGGTTTGCAGAGTGCAGCAATTCAGCACGGAGTAAGTATTTCGGCGGTGATCAGAGCCTTTTTGCCGCACCTGACATTCACGGCATAAGCAGCGCCTGGGTTTCCCAGAATACTCCCAGGAAAAGGGGGCGTATTTTCGAGCAGCCTCCTGGGAATCCCAGGCGGGTCATTCTACAGAAATGTTACAATTTGGCGTTTTATTTGTGAAACTAAAAGTTGTCCGATTTTACCCAGATTGGTCACAATTTGTAGCTTTGGTCATGGGGAACGCCAAACAGTTGCGAGCGTCTCGCTATTTCATCAGGAGGGAAGTCAGGGGGGGGGGGTAGAAACGAATTTTGACGGCTACGGAGTTTACAGGGGTTGCGCAGGGGGCGGCAACGGCCTAGGAAGCGCGTGAAGCCATGCGCGAGGGAGGTGCAGTGGTTACTTATTTTGCTTCGATTGGAAGATCTTGCCCGTTGATTACAAAACGCTTTGCGCAGATCAAAAGAGCACAAAATTTAAGGTGCATTAGGCCTAGTGGACTGCCCGATACTTCCAATTCAACCGAACACAAGGGCGGAATCATTTACATCAACATGGCGCATTCGAGTTTTTCCTGAATTTTATGATTTCTCGTGTTTTTGGTGTTTTCACTGCACCTTAATGTAAAGTCAGAGGGGAGTTTCGAGAAGAGCATTTAGCCTAATGCACCCTAAATTTCAAGCCTGCTATGACCTTTAGATTTTTCATAGCTACTTCCCCTCTTCCCCCTCCTCTCTTTCTTACGGTTGCTGCGGCGTTCTGGAGCCAGTCTGACTTGAACCTTCGTGCTATTCACTTTCCCTGTCCTCCGAACCCACACTACAGTTAGAACTCAGCATTGGCGACGAGGAACCTCAGCGTAGTTCACCGAAACACGTGCCTACGATCTATAATCAGCCATCCCGTCGGTGCAAGTAAGTGTCTCTCTTTCTTCGCCTGTAAACAAACTTGTCCCTGCAGTGTATGGCCTGGGAGCTCAGCGACTATTCGCTCGCGTTGTTATTTCCCAACGTGATCATGACTCGTGCTGCTCCTGATATTATGCGTGCCTTTCGGCATGACAAGTTCCCTACCGACGGGTCGATCGAATGGGCCACTTACAAAATGTCGTTTGAATTCGCGTTTGACGCGGCCGGCATTGCACATGCCGAGGACAAGCAGGCGTTGCTTTTGGCAAAGATAGGGCCTGAGACGCTGCAATTGCTAGCGTCTCTCCTGTACCCTAAAAAATTGAAAGATAGTTCATACGACGACATAGTCGACAAATTGGACTCCCACCTGGACACAAAGGAAACGACGGTGATTGCTATTGAACGATTTCGAAATCGGAGGCAGGGCAATGACCCAGTACGTGTTTGGATAGCCGATCTCAGAAGACTGGCATCCCGCTGTAACTTTGGGACGAATTTCGGCAACGAAATGTGTGCCCAGATAGTTCGGGGGATTACCTCCACGGCTAATAAAGTGCGCCTCATGGAAAAAACTAAACTGGAGTTAGATGCCGTGATTGCGCTTCTCACAGCTTGGGAAATGGCCCAAGAATCAACAAACGAACTGGACCCCAAACACCTGCGTGTGCATGCTGTGGCCGGGCAGCCCTCCAAGGGCGCCTCCCACTCAAGCCAGCACGTTGCGGGGAGCCCCGATGGGGCGCCAGGCAAAGGTAAAAAAGTGCCGGCGCCGGCTAAGCCAGTGTTGATTCCGGGCCAAGCCTGCCCCACTTGTAAACAAACAGTGCCTCGGGACGACAAGCCTTGTTTCCGCTGTAAAGGAAAACATGCCCCGACAGTGTGTCCGCACATAAACGCTACTTGCGATTACTGTCATGGGCCCGGCCACATTTTAGGGGCTTGTTTCAAGAAAGCTCGGGACGAGAAAGCTGCGAGGGCCGCGCCCAGTAAGCAGCCGCCGGCCAAGCCAACCGAGGCCGCCCCGTCGGTGCACGCGCTAACGTCGGAGGGAGCGGCTGGCCCGATGCAGGGCAGCGCGTCCCCAAATGAGATGTACTACGGCGGCGAGTACGGCCTGTATAACTTGTCGGTTCGCCAGTCTTCGGTACCAATTACCGACGGCCCCATACCGCCGAGCCCGATACCGGGGCCGGCGCAACGCTCATGAACACCACTCAATTTCGACAACTCTGGCCAGGACGACAGTGGGACCCGACGCAACACACGTTGCACCAGTGGGATGGTGGGCACGTCACCATTGTGGGGTCATGTAAGGTTACTGTAACCCACGAAGGTGTCCGTTTCGCTGGCACACTGCGCCTAGCAGACGGCAACGGGCCCTTGCTAATGGGCCGCGATTGGCTAAAGGCGTTAGGGTACACGCTGGCGAAAAGCGTCCACTTAGTGCAAACCTCGCCAGTCCAAGAGGGTGCCCCGCAAGGGGCCCCGGCGGACCTGGCAGGGTACCCTTGCCTACGCCCCGGCTTAGGTAAATACGTTGGCGAGCCGGTAGAACTCAAATTGCGCCCCGATTCAACCCCAATTTTCTTAAAGGCCAGGCCGCTGCCCTATGCTCGCCGCGACGCGGTGAGCAAGGAGCTGGAAAGCCTGGTAAAAATGGGGGTTATCTCCGAGATAACAGAATCGGATTGGGCTACGCCCATCGTATGTATTTATAAGTCGGACGGGTCCATACGAATAGCGGCAGATTATCGTAGTACGGTGAATCGTGCACTTAGGCCGGACCCCTTTCCCTTGCCCACATTGCAGGAAGCTTTCGCGAAGTTGGCAGGGGGGGATGGTGTTTTCGAAATTCGACATCAAAATGGCTTACAATCAAGTCTGCGTTACGGATGAAACGGCCAAAATCCTCGCTATCGCAACACATCGGGGCTTGTTCAAAATGAATAGAATGCCATATGGCATTTCTCGTGCGCCTGCTATTTTTCAACGAATTATGGACGGGTTGCTTAAGGGAATTCCCAGCTTAATTGTGCTGCTAGACGACATCCTGATTGCGGGCCGCACTCGACAAGAGTTGCGGAACCGCGAAAAGGAAGTGCTCCAGCGGTTAAGCGATGCGGGATTCCGTCTTAAAGCCGAGAAATGCGAGTTTGGTGTAGCCCAAGTGCAGTACCTGGGCCATGTCATTTCGGCGCAAGGACTCGCCCCGAGGAATGACAGGGTTCAGGCGCTGTTGAACGCCCCACCCCCCGAATCCGTGAAACAACTGCAGTCCTTTCTGGGGAAACTGGCTTTTTACGAGCGTTTTCTCCCAGGGCGGGCCGATACGGTCGCCCCTCTGTATCAGTTGTTGAAAAAGGACGCGTCATGGACCTGGGGGGAGGCCCAGCAGGCGGCGTTTGAGGCCGCAAAAAACTTGCTATGTCAGTTTCCGGTGCTCAGCCACTACGACGTGCAATTGCCCCTCAGCCTCAGCGCGGACGCTAGCGAATATGGGGTGGGCGCGGTGCTGTCGCATCAATATCCTGATAATGCAGAAAGGCCAGTTGCATACGCGTCGCGAATTTTGAGCCCCGCGGAACGCCGCTATGCTCAAATAGACAAGGAAGCACTGGCCGTGATATTTGGCCTTACCAAATTTCACGAGTACATTGCGGGTAGGCCGATAACAATTTTTACCGACCACCGCCCGCTGGTAGGATTGTTCACGAAACAAATCTCGCCAATGGCTAGTGCTCGCATGACCCGGTGGCTGTTACTGCTCAGTGCGTACGAGTTCACCGTAGTCTATCGGCCAGGGGCGCGGCACGGCAACGCGGACGCGTTAAGTCGCCTCCCTAGTGTGGCCCCGGCGGGCGATCCCCCCAACCCCCCGGAAATTTATGTGCTCTCAATGTCCACGAGTCGGGCGGGGGCTCTGAATGCCCGTGATGTAGCACGCGCTACAGCAGAGGACCCACACCTGGCCCGAATTTTACAGTGGTCACGCGAGGGCTGGCCGGACAAGTGTCCGGCGGAGGACTTGCAACATTTCTTTCGCCGTAGAAACGAAATCTCGGTGGTGAATGACGTCTTGATTTCACTCTCATTCCAAGAACGTGACATCACGCTGAAACGAACGTGACAAAATGTCACGTTCCTTTGAGCATTGTGTCACATTCGTTTGAGTGTGAATTGGCCAAAAACCAGCTTGTTCACATTCAAACGAACGTGACACAAT